AAGGGGGCTGTTCTAAAAAAAAAAAAAAAAAAAAAAAACAGGCAGTAACAGGTGTTGGGGAGGAGGTAGAGAAATTGGAATTCATATGTTGCTTGTGAGAATGTAAAATGGTGAATCACTGTAGAAAACAGTTTGATGCTTCCTCAAAATGTTAAATATAGAATTTCTATATATGACCCAGCAATTCCACTCCTAGGTATATACCCAAATGAATTGAAAAAATGTTGACACAAAAACTTACGTACAAATGTTCATGGCAACATTGATCATAATAGCCATAAAGTGGAAACAACCGAAGTATCCATCAATTGTGAATGGATAAATAAGTTTGGTATGTCTGTACAATGAAATATCAGAAAAGAATGAAATTGTTACATGCTAGAACATGGATAAACCTTGGAAATGTTATGCTAAGGGAAAGAAGCCAGTTACACAAGATCACATATTTTGTGATTCCATATAGGAAAAATCTGTGGAGATAGAAAGTACATTAGCGGTTGCCAGGGCTTGAGGAAGAGGGGGAAATTGAGACTAACTGCTAAGATACTGTGAAAAGTTTTCTTAGAAATACTACTGTATGAATATGTGTATTTAATAATTATCTACTTTTCCCAGTAAATGTGTTTCTAATTTTGTGAGTAGGCCAGCAGAAGTAGATACGGTGGATGGATTCCAGGGTCGTCAAAAGGATTGTGTTATTGTTACATGCGTCAGAGCAAATGCCGTGCAAGGCTCAATTGGGTGAGCAACTGTCATTATTGCTTTTTTACTTGTTTACAATCCAGGATTACATTCATTATCAGTCATTGTTAGAGAACACCGTCATTTGTTTTATTAATCTCTTTTATAAAAATGTATCTAATACTATAAAGATTTCTTTTTTTTAAGTTGTGAAATAGACCCACTGTTAGGTCTGCTTTTCTTGGTGTCTTGTATAGTAACCCATTTCATAGTGTGAATCTGTTCCTTTATTTAATGAGTGAAATAACTGGATTAAGTGTACTTTGCAGGGGCATGTCACTCTCACGCGGTGTGTGTCATCAAGTGGTTTTCCTCATCTCTGTTTCCTGCTTTGGCTAAATTTGTTAACCTTGACTACTGTCAGTTTACTTACTGTTATGAGTGACAGAAACTCCCCTGAGTCTGCAGACCAGAGAGTCTTATGTGGTTATTTGTTCCTTCTCATGAGAAGCAGATGGAATTTATAGGTTGTAAATTTGTTTAATTGTTTTTCAAAAAAAAAAAAAAAGTAACTTAAGTGATCTCTCTGCCACTCCCTAGGATGGGCTGCATGTACAAATAGAGGCCACTGTCTCAGGACCATTTTGTAAATAGTCCATCCTTTCCCAAATAATTTGAAATTTTATCTTTATCGTATACCAGTTTTATTTCTGACATCTTTTTTTATCTATTTGTATGTTTTTCTGATGTTTGCGTATTTCTGCACTAGTTCTACAGTATTTTAACAATCTAAATGTATTTAAATTTAAGAATAAGGGCTGGTTGGTCAGCTCAGTTGGTGTTATAACACTAAGAGCTTGGTATTACAACACTAAGGTCAAGGGTTTGAATCTCCATACCTACCAGGTGCCAAAAAGAAAAGAAAAATAAATAAATAAATAAATAAATTTTATAAATAACTGAATCTCCATACCTACCAGGTGCCAAAAAGAAAAGAAAAATAAATAAATAAATAAATAAATAAATTTTATAAATAAGAATAAGTAATCGAGCTAGTATCATATTTTTAGTATTTTTAAAGTGTCCAATATCTCATCCAAATCAAAATAAGAAATTGATAGGCAGATGCATCACTTTGAAGGGGTGGGAGGAGCACTAGAAAAGCTGTCTAAAATACTGCCTGTGTCTCACTTGTGTTAAGTCATCCTATAGAAAGAAGTAACTCTTTTTTTATTGCTTAGATTCCTGGCAAGTTTGCAGAGATTGAATGTCGCCATTACACGAGCCAAGTACAGCCTCTTCATCCTCGGACACTTGAGGACACTGATGGTAGGTACATTCTTGGGGACCAGAGAGAACTCATAAGTTTGCTCATTATTACTATTATTGAATGGAGTTTTTGGGTTTTTTTGCCATCAAAATGGAAATGGTCTCTGGACTGTGTTCTCTAGTAACTTCTTCCTGGGAGCTTTTGTGTGCACATAAACCACCCACCCTTGCTTAACCCAACACCCAAGTATCTACACTAGGCTCTCAAGGTGACCTTTTTTAAAAAAATTATCTGCATCATAGAAGAAGGTATATTAAACCCAGGCATATGAAGTGCTAGAGCAGTGCTTGACACTAAGAAAACATTCAATAAATGTGCCTAGTATTTTATTCATATGACTTTCTTTAACCCTTACAAAACCCTGTGAAATCAGCATTATTATCATAGTTTATCAAATCCAAGAAGCCGTTAATTATAATATGCATCACTATTTTATGTACTACTAAACTATGACACAGAGCTTTATTTTCACTTAGAATTTTTATTCTGTACTTTCTTTGCAGGGACTATTTTAGGACTTTAGACAGATTTTTATCATATCACTCTTGTGCATACACAGAAAATACAAATAAAATGAATAGATTATGATATTCCTAAAAGTATTTCACTTTCAGAATTGAGTGCTAATTAATCATTTCCCAGTCAGTAGTCATCAGTGCCCTTGTTAATCCACAGTGCAATCAAAAAGTTGGCAATTCAGTGTTTCCTAGGAGGGTTCCACACTGTCTCCAACATTTTCTTAGAACGCCTGATCTCTGTTCTCCAAGTTTTAATGCTGGCACTTTCTTGTCATATCAGAAGTTGTCTGTGGAAAGTTTTCAGGCAAGATCTTTAAATGGTTTATCGACTAAAAATCAAGGGGTTGTAGTTGCCTAGTCATGAATTCTCCCAGGATAGGTACTTGGAAACTACTGCCTTGCAAAGAATTACCCCAAAGTCAGAAATGGTAAAATGTGAAAGCAATGTGCATTTTAGAATCAGTTAAATAAAGTATTATTCCTATTTTACAGATGAGGGAAACAGGCTCACAGAGCTCAAGTGACTTAACCAAGGTCAGGCAGCAAGTAAATACTATGCAGCCTCACTGGTCCCCTAACCCATCTTTATGAGTAGTACAGGAGCCCACATGAGGGTAGCTGTCCTTTCTCTTCTTTTTCCTTCAGCTTTGTCCTTTTTTAAATGTTTTTCTGCTCACTCTTTTTTTGAAGAGATGCAAGTTCTAGTGGTTGTGAAGCAACAGTTTTTTTCTTTTTTTCTTTTTTTTCTTTTTTTCGTGTCCGGCAATGGATCGCAGCCCTCAGTGTCACGCCCGTACCGGACTGGGACTGGCAACGGGAT